ACTATTTTATTTTTTTAAATTATCTTTATTTATCTTTGTATATGTGTGGGGGTGGTGGCGGTTCCCTTTTGGAAGTCAGAGGACAACTTGTGGGAGTTGGGGATCCAAGTTAGGTCGTCAGGCTTAGCAGCAAGTGCCTTCACCTACTGAGCCATCTCCCAGTCTAAGTCTTACTATGCTGCAGTTGAAGAGACCAGGCTGGCCTTGAACTCTCAGCAGTTCTCCTGCCTCTGCCTCCCAGGTGTTACACCACAGGTGTGCACCACCATGCCTAGCTCTTGCTGCTATCTTTTATTTAGACATTAAACATTTTTTATTTTTAAAAAATATTTTATTATTTCATGTGTGTGTATTGTCTGCATGTGTGTAAGTGCACTGGTGTCATGCAATGCCTGTGGAGTCAGAAGAGAACTGGAGTTACGGATGGTTGGTTGTTAACCACCATGTGGTGCTAGGAATTGAACCTGGGTCCTCTGCAAGAGTAGCCAGTGCTCTTAACCACTGAGTCATCTCTCCCCCTCTTGATTTTTTTTTTTTTTGAGACAGGGTCTCACTATGTAAAGTAGGTCAGGCTGGCCTTGAACTTGCTATAATTCTTCTGCCTTAGTCTCTCAAGTGTTGGAATTATAGGAACTGCCATGTTTGGCTTTTTTTTTCTTTAAAAAGATTACTTATTTATTTATTTACTTATTATTTTATGTGTATGAGTGTTCTTCCTGCATGTATGTAAGCGTACCCATATCATGCAATGCCCACAGGGGCCAGAAGAGAGCATCAGAGCCCCTTGGAACTGGAGTTTACAGATGGTTGTTGGCTGCCATGTGGGTGTTGGTAACCAAACCTGGGTCCTCTGCAAGAGCAGCCAGTGCTCTTAACCACTGAGTCATCTCTCCAGCCCCATCTTTATTTTTAGTAATAAAAATTTCCTGTGTTAACTCTTGACCTAAGAATACTAAGAATAACAGTCAGTCAAATATGTTCCCCTGTCACCTCAGCTCTGATCTGAAGAACACAGTGCTGGTGCCCTGCCCTGGTGGTATTTCTTCTTCAACTGTCCACCCAGCCGCCCTAGAGCTTGCTTGGGTCAGAGGTGTGGGGAATGGCTCCCTGCTTCTTTCAGGACCTTCCAGGTTCTTTAAAGTACTTTACTTAGGGACTCATGTATTCTATACTGGCTTTGAACTTGTATCTGGCCAAGGCTGACCTTGGACACTTGATTTTCCCATCTCTACTTTCCAGAAACTGAGATTACAGGCACATTGTATGCATTGTCATGCCCAGCTTGTATGTATATATGTGTTCGTGTGTTTGTGTCTAGGCCAGAGGTCAACCTTGGGTGTCATTCTCCCTTGTTTTTTGAGATAGTCTTTCACTGGCCTGGAACTTGTCAAGCAGGCCAGGCTGTCTGGCTAGTGAGCCCCAGGAATCCTCCTGTCTCTGCCTCCCTAGAACTAGGATTGCAAGTGCATGCTACCTTGCCTAGTGATCAAACTCATGCTTGTACTTTACCAATTGAGCTATTTTCTGTTGCTTTTGTTTTGAGACGGGGTCCATGTAGCTCAGGTTGGCCTCAAACTTGCTATGCAGTCAAGGATGACCTCGAACTTCTGATCCTCATCTGTCTACCTCCCTGGTGTTGTGATTAAAGACATATGCCACTATACCCAGTTTTGTGTGTTGCTGGGGTAGGAACCCAGGGTTTTATGCATGATAGGCAAGCAGTCTACCAACTGAGTCATGTCCCCAGCCCTTGAATGTGTCTGTAGCCAGGAGTGACTTGCTGCCAGCTTGGTCTTTCCTGTGTGCTCAGGACCAGCATTACCAGCATCACTGGGCATTGTTTTTATTGCAGTGTAAGAGCCTCCTAGGAACCAGGTCAGAATTGGCATCATCTGGACCCTTGCTGATCCATATGCACAGTCATCTGAGAAGTGCCGGGCGATGGGGGTGGAGTACAGCGCTGCCATTTGTTGATTCCAACTACTCTTTTCTGTGCAGACTATGCCTGAGCAGTTACATCATCTCCTTGGGCCATATATTTCTCTGAAAATGTTAGAATGTGTCAAGAAAAAATTGAGTCCAGTGTCCTGGGTTGATTACCTAGCACAGATTTTGAAGATTTGATGCTTCTGAAATATCACTGCCAAACAAACACTTGGAGAGGTTTTCTTGAGGCTGTGAAACATGGCGATGGTGATGAGGGCAGGCTTGACGTGGAGGTGAAGATCTGATGCCTTGAATTATGGGGACTAAGATGAATTTTGGGCTATGCTGGGAGGAAGCTCTCAGGACCAGTGGCCTAGACATAAAAGTGGCTCACCCTCATGTGCCTGTTAGGCCGTGACAGCTCTATTGTTTGGTGTTAATTACAGTTATGGGCTGGTCCCCAGGAGTGTTAGGAAAATACCAGTTACTACTTAAGTGTCATCAGTCAGGGCCTCTCTTTGCTGGGGTTATTGTTTTAAAATTTTATTATTTGTGTGTGTGTGTGTGGGGGGGTACTTGTTACTATGAATATGTGCATGTGTGTGAGGCTGTGTGTGATTGTGTGTGCACATGCATGTGGAGATCAGAGGTTGACATTAAATGTTTCTACCTTTATTTTATTTTAGTTTTTGAGACAGGGCTTCACTATGTAACCCTAGCCGGCCTGGAACTTGCTATTTAGACCAAGTTGGCCTCAAACCCACAGAGATCCGCCTGCCTCTGCCTCTTGAGTGCTGGAATTAAAGGTGTGTACCACCAAGGTTGGCTCTATCTTTATTTTTTGAGACACAATATTTCACTTTAACTTGAAGCTCATTGATTTGGCTAGACTGTGGCCAATGAGCTTCAAGGATCTGCCTGTCTGTCCTCTGGTGCCAGGATTACGGGCACATACATGCCACTGTCTGTGCTTGGCTTTTTATGTGGGTTCTGGGGATCTGAACTCAGGACCGGTCTGCTTGCTTGTGCAGCAGGTATCCTATTGATTGAGCCATTCTTCCAGTCCTTAATTTTACTGATTTGTGCGTGATGTGTGTTCACATGTGTGCAAGTGCTCGTGTACATGTATACTCATGCGCAGAAGCCTGAAGCTGATGTCACATGCCTTCTTCAATTGTTTTCCACCTTATATAATGATGCAAGGCCTCCTGATGAATCTGGAGTTTACCATTTTGGTTCTCTGTCCTGTGCACTGGGATTACTACACCCACTTGACCTTTATATGGGTTCTGGGGATCCTAACTCTGGTCCTTGACCCTTGTGTGGCAAGTACTTTATCTTGAGCTATCTTTTCAATCTGCGCGTGTGCGTGTGTGTGTGTGTACATGTGCCAATCCAAGTACATATACCCCATGCATGTGTGCAGAGGAGACACTGGGTGTCCTGCTCTGTCACTCTCTAGCCTACTCTGTTGACACAGAGTCTCTCACTGAGCCTGGAGCTAGGGTGGCAGCCAGTAAGTCCCCACGATCCTCCCATCTCTTTTCTTCACTGTGCTGTGGTTCATGGCTATGCCTGGCTTTTTACATCGATGCTGGGGATGTGAACTCAGGTCTTCTTGCTTGCACAGCAAGTCCTCTCACCCACTGAGTTATCCCCTAAGCCTCTAATGGGTCATTGTCAGTGCATCCCCGTGTGACCTGCAGAGCTGCTCCACAGTGGCAGATCTTCAAGGATGGGTCTGTATGAGAATTGCAGACACCATGCAGAGGGCAAACCTCCTCTATAGCCCCAATGCCTCTGAAAGGACTGCAAAACTATCATCTGGAGTCTTATCAAAATGAAAAGCGCGACCCAGGTGCTGGGTGAGGCCACCAGGTGCTGGTGGTCTGGGGACAACAGAGGGGGAATGTTGGAAGAGCATGGGCCCAGAAGTCAGATGGGCCAGTGCACCAAGCCTGATTCTGCCTTTGGTGTCTATGATGTTGGTCAAGTCTCTTCTCTGAAGTTCAGATTTCTCAGATGTAAAATGGGGATCACTTCTGTCTTTTACGCTCTTGGTAAGATTTTGAGGTAAGGTATAAGTTCCTTCCCACTTGTCGTGTGTGTGTGTGGGGGGTATGTGTGTATGTGTACACATGTGTCATAGTCTGCACCCCCAGCACTCCAGGTTCAGTTCAGACCTGTTTTTATCTTCTATAATGGCTCATTGTCTTTCTCATTCTGGTTTTAATAAAGGTTTATTTTTCCAAATGTGCAGTCAGGTGACCGTTTGTGCACCTTTGCTGCAGCTGGGGCATCTCCACCCCGTGTATTTCTGGTGTAAATTGCTTGAGCTCTGTGCTTTGAAGCAGTTTTCTGAGTCCTACACTGAGGAGCTCCTGAAGGGCTGCCTGGCTGCAAATCTTCAGTCTGAGACCACAGCTGGGTGACAAGCTTGTAGCTGGGAACGTCCTCAGAGTCTGACAATGTAGCATTGTCAAACAGGACTCGAGTGCTGAGCGTGTCCCACCTTTGCCTTTGGACACTTCCTCTTGGCCTGGCCCCAAGACTTGTCTACTGGGTCTTTGTCTTTCTTCTTGTTTTCCTTGGGTGGCATGGCCAAGCTCAGAGGACAGCAGCAACTGCAGCTTTGCTACGATGTCCAACAACAACAACACATCTTTTTTTTTTTTTTTGAGATAGGTTCGATAACCCTGGCGGGCCTTGAAGCCAAGGATGACCTTGAAGTTCTTTTTTGGTGTGTGTGCGCGCACGTGGTGTGGTATATGTACGTTTTGTGGGTGTATGAAAGTGCAAGTGTGTGCACATGCATGTGTGGGCCCCAGGTTAATGTCAGGTGTCCTTCTGGATCGCTTTCCACTTTACTTTGTGACAAGGTCTCTCGCTGAATTTGAGTTCACTGATTTGCCTGGGTGGCTGGCCAATGAGCTCCAGGGACCCTTGAGTTCCTGTACCCCATCTCCCTTTGCCTTTCGCGGTGACAAGCCCAGCTTCTTCACCAGTTGTGGCGAAGCTTGACCATGTAAAGTCTACTCACCATGTTTAAAATGAAAGCAGCCGAAGTGCATGACTTTGGTGAACTTTCAGTTTTATTAGAAATATATTAAGAGAAGAGTCAAGAGTCCACACCTTGCAGAGGCCACAGGTCATGTTGGTTCTGCGATGATCTTCCAGAGCTCCTGCAACAGATACAGAAGTGACAGGGCCTGACTGTGCAGTTGGGACTGTCATAGCCTTATTCAGGACATGCAGAGAAGAAAAGCTTGAGGCCAGGGCACAGAGGCTCTGGCTATTCTATGGTAGCACAGTATTGGGATGTCACAGTCACAAGGGAACAAAGGAATAGTAGCATGTACTCATGGTCTCTCCCCTTGGAGGCCTTGCCCACTGTGGTCTATAGCTGTTCCAGTTCCTAAGGGGCGAGACAGGGAGCAAGAAGGCCAGACCTGCCTGATGCCACTGAGGCCTGATCTCCATGGCCAAGAAGCAGAGAACAAAAGATGCCAGTTCTCTATCTCTGGATGTCTGTGACTCTAGCTCCTGGTAATTTTGTGGGTAATTTTGACTTTTCAAATTTACTGTAAGTGCTGGGTTTAAAAGCTGCCTGTCTTGGGTGTTTGTTCCTAGGAATGTTCACTAGGACCACAGGCAAAGGACATGTGGAATGGCACCGGGCACATGCTATCACTGCAGGGTGGCTATCAAGGGCTTATATCTGGGGTCGCACTGTGCTGGGCCAGAGGGGCAGAGTGATGATCCGAGCCTTCTGCTCTATCTGCACAGTGCAGATGTGACCACTACAATGATGGTTAATACTGACTCTCAATCTGAAGGGATCTAGAATCATGAAGGGGACAAACCTCTGTGCATGTCTGTGAGGGAGTTTCGAGGTTAGGGTGGCCAAGGTGGGAAGACCCATCCTAATGTGGGTGGCACGATCCCATGGGTGGGTGTCCTGGCTTGGAAGGGGAGAGCCAGCCTCATTTCTCTCTGCTTCCTGACTGCAGGTGCAATGTGACCAGCTGCCTCATGCTCCTGCCACCAGACCTTCTCCATCACGATAAACTGTACTCTCAAACTGTGAGCCACAATAAACCCTTTCTTTCTTTACATTTTTAAAAATTTTATGTTTATGTGTATGACTATTTTTGCCTAGATGTATGTAAGTGCACCGACGAGTGCAATGCCCAGGGAGGCCAGAAGAAGGCACTGGATCACCTGAAACTGGAATTACCTACAGTTTTAGCCGCCATGTGGATGCTGGGAACTCAACCTGGGTCCTCTTACCACTGAGCCAGCTCTCCAGCCCCTCCCTTTCTTAAGCTGCTTTTTTCAGGCATTTTGTCACAGCAGTAAGGAAAGTAATACTACAAGGATCACCCAGGCCCTGCCTTAGGGTCTGCAGCCTACCAAGTTCCCTTCTACCAACTTCTGCGCCAGAGTCACATTCTACTTCCTATAGGCTCTTATGTTTGAGCACTGAGTTCTCAGCTGGTGGTGCTGTCTGGGAAGGTAGTGGAACCTTTAGGAGGAGTGGAGACTTGCTGGAGGAAGTGGGCCACTGGGGGTGGGTCTTAAGGCTTTATTGCCAGGCCCTACTTCCTCTTCACTTTGTTTCCTGGGGGTGGATACAATGAGACCAGCAGATCTGCTCCCGTTGCCATGCCTTCCTTGCCATGATAGAATAATTCCTCTTAAACTATAAGCCAGAACCAACCCACCTTTCCTCCCTTCCTCCCTCCCTCCCTTCCGCCTTCCCTCCCTCCCTCCCTCCCTCCTTCTTTTCCTTCCTTGATTCTCTCCCTCCCTTCCCTCCTTTCCCTCCTTCCTTCTTTCCTTTCAGGTTGTTTGAGGGTCTACACTACACCACCTCTGGTCAGGGTGACTGTGCAGAGTGGGTCAATCCCTTCAGGGGTCACAGACAGTGCCAAATCTTTAGCCTCTGCTGGGCACAGGACTATAGGGCTGGATGTGGCCCATCACCTCCTTTGTTGCCCACCACCACCCACTGCCCTCACAAGGCCAGATCTACCAGCTGCCGGATGCGCTCGTAGATGAGCAACTGTGGGAAGGAGGCCTCCACAGGCTCTACCATGAAGCGCAGCCTGCTGTCAGCCAGCTTCTCCAGAGCGTTCAGGGAGGCACGGAAGTGATCATAGGCTTCACACGTGACGTCCAAATGTCTCAGCGTGAAGTTGAATCTGCAGACAGACAACAAACTGCCGTCACAACCGGGTTGCCGGGTGTGGGGGGGGCTCTGCTGCTTCCTCACAACTCGCTCATTGCATGCCCTGAGCTCGTTTCTCATGGCTGGATTTTGTCTATTTTGCATTCAGCCTTTGAGCAAATGCCTTCCTGGAGCTACACAGCAGCCTGGGAGGCGAAATGGCTGCCGACCCCCTTCAGAGACATAGTAGTCAGGGTTTAGGAAGCTGAGGCCATGCATCCAAGATGACACTCCTGGAAAGACAGAGACCTGCAAACTGATGCCAGGGCAGATCTGCTGGCCCGGCCTGCAGCCCACACAGAATCTCTAAGTTGCTCCAGAACTATCTATGGAATGAGGGAACGAGAGGCTGTGGCAGAGGGAGGAACAGAACATGCTGGGAGCAGAGGACATTACCAGGAGGCTGAGGATGGGGGTGGGGGCAGACCTGACTTCCCAGGCTCTGTCATCTGCACATTTCAAACACTGGTGTCTGCCAAGAGATTCACCTGGAATTTGAACTTTTCATTTTTCCTTCTTCTCCCTTTTGCTTTTCCTATTTTTTCTTTCTCCCTTTTTCTTTTTGTATGTGTGTGTGGTGTGCATGTGTTATCATGTTCCTGTGTATGTGTGTGTGTGTGTGTGTGTGTGTGTGTGCATGTGTGTGTGTGTGTGTGTGCATGAGAGAGAGAGAGAGAGAGAGAGAGAGAGAGAGAGAGAGAGAGAGAGAGGCAAAGGTTGATACTGGGTTCTATCACTTTCTACCGTATATTTCGCGGCAAGGCCTCTCACTTGAACCCAGGGCCCCGTAGGTCAGCAGGCCACCACACCTGCACCTAGGTAGGTGCTGGATCCTTATACTTGCATCTCTGCAGTCTCTCCTTTTTCTTTCCCAAATCTTTTATTATAAAAAAATCTCAAACACCCCAAAGAGTAAGAACAGTGGAACAAATTACCACGAAGCTATCAGCCAGCTTCAGCCACCGCTGACTTCTGACCACTCTGTCCTCTGTGTTCTAAGAGGCTTTCCCATTCCCCCATTAACAACCAAATGCCAGACATCCCAGCATTTCTCCTGCAAATATGTCAGTGTGAATCTGGAAAACATAATGACTCTTCCCTTAAAGTAAATTTAACAACTTTTAGTTTAGTTTTTTTTTTTTTTGAGACAGGGTCTCCCTGAAGCCCCAGCTGGCCTGGCACTCGCTACTTGGACCAGGCTGGTCTTGTGCTCAGAGATCCTCCTGATTATGTCTCCTGAGTACTGGGATTAAAGGTGTGTTTCACCATGCTTGGCTGGTTTTTTTTTTTTTTTTGTCTTTTTTTGAGAGAGGGTTTCCCTGTAGCCCCAGCTGTCCTGGAACTCACTATGTAGCCCTGGCTGGCCTTGAACTCACAGAGATCCACCTGCCTCTGCCTCCCGAGTGCTGGGATTAAAGGCGTGCCACCATGTCCAGCTAGTATTTTGTTTTTTTAAGGCTCTATTTTATTTTTTAAATTTTTAAGTGAATTTGTTGTGATTTTCATACAATATAATTTGATGGTATTTAGATCCCTCTCCGAAGCCACATCTCCCCTTACTGTCCCCCACTCAATTTAATATGTACTCCACTGTATACACAATATGACCTATAAAGTCTGATTTGAGCCCTCAAATGTCCTTAAGTGTGGGTCCATCCACTGGAGCCTGGTTAACCTACCAAAAGTCCCATCCTTGAAAGAGACTGTCTCTGCCCCTCCCAGCAGCCATCAGTTGCCAACAGATCCTCAGGTAGGGTTGGGGCCTCTTACCCACCTCCCCACATCTATGATATTTTATTTTTAGTTACGTGTACGCATGTATGTTTGTGCGTAGAATATATACTGAGAACAGGTGCCTGTGGAGGCCAGAAGAGGGTGTTGGATCCCCTGGAGCTGGAGTTATAGGCAACTGTGAACCACCTAATATGGGTGCTGGGAACTGAATCTGGGTCCTCTGGAAGAGCAGAAGTTTGTGCTCTTAACTGCTGAGCCATCTCTCGAGCCCCAAAGGTTTCTGTTTTTAGGTAAGTCCTGGAATTCACTATGTAGCTGAGGCTGGCCTTGAGCTGCCTCTGCCTCCCAAGTGCTGGGACTACAGGTGTGACACACCCAGCCAAACAATGATTTTTTAAACATTGCTTACAGCATCCAATTCTTCCTGACTGCTCTAAATTTCTTGTTTATAGACTACACCGTGAGGACAGAAATGAGGCTCCTTTGTTTCTACTGGTCAGTGTGTGTCTGAAGGAAGAGCTTGGTGTAGCTGGGTAAACAGTGCTGTGATGAACATAAGAGAGTGCTCAGCTTCAAACCAAAACCCTGTGTGGAAGAGGCAAAGCAACCTCCGCACATGACCTTATGGAGGGCACAAACACACAAAGGAACCTGCTGCTTCCACAGAGGGATTTTCTTCATTCTTATTTTTGCTTTGTTTTGTTCGGGCTTTTTGGGCCAGGGTCTTCCTGTAGCCCCAGCGCTAGCCTGGCACTCATTGTGTAGACTAGGCTGGCCTCAATTTCACAGAGATCTACCTGCCTCTGCCTCTCAAGTGCTGGGACTAAGGGGTGCGCCACCATGCCTGGTCTTCATTCCCTTTTTTTTTTTTTTTTTTTTTTTTTTGTCTTTTTGAGACAGGGTCTCCCTGTAGCCCCAGCTGACCTGGAACTCACTGTGTGGACCAGGCTGGCCTTGAACTCACAGAGATCAGCCTGCCTCTGCCTCCCGAGTGCTGGGATTAAAGACGTGCACCACCTTCATTCCTATTTTCAATAGCAGCCATTTTAGCCTTTCATTCTGATCTTTCATTTTTAGGTTTTGTTGAAGATACAGGAATACAGAAAACTTCCCTTTTCACAGACAAACAAAACACAAGTGATACTAATGGCAGAAGGCAACAGACTCATTATACAGAAGAGACAGCGTGCTGGGCCCATGGTGAGGGGGTGCTCATCTGGCACTACCTCACTGTGGCGTGGACTGCACCCCACCCCCACCCCCACCCCAATGTCTCTGTCTTCCTTGCTCCATTTGAAAACGGGGCAGGCTGTGCCTCACAATAGGATCTAACAGACTAAACGAGGGGATGAGGTGAGGGACTAGCTCCAGCCCAGCACACAGTAGGTGCGTGATAAATGCAGTGAGTGCAGCGGGAGCACAGGGGAAGGACGGGGACAGCAGCAGCATCACCTCCTCTCCACTGACAGGATGGCTGTGCAGGCATTCTTCAGTCTGCGCACCAGTCGGGAAAGCGTGTTAAACAGGGCGTCGGTTAGGTCATCATCGTAGAACACTGTGGAAAGGTGGGGAAGATGTGACTAACGGGAGAAACCCATTCAGAGGGGCTTGGCATACCATGGAGTGGATCCTTATCATCACAGAACAGCAGTAGTTGTGGTAGAATGTTCTAGAAGGATGCTTCTAAGATGTTTCTAAGGTGGAGAGCGAAATTAGCTCTCACAGTTCTAGCTAGAGTAACTCCATCTGGCAGCAAGTGGCCATGAAGCTGTTCCACAGGCCAGACCACAACAAAACCAAGCCAGCCTTCCTGTGGCTGGAGAGTGCCTGAGACCAACAGAAGTCTGCTAAGGGCAAGAGCAGAGTGCTGCCAGAACAGAGAGCAGTGCTCTGAAGCAACCAGGTCTGCATCACTTCTGTGTGGACTCAGAGCTATGTACAATAAGGGTTTGTTGAGTGTAGCAACTTTGGCCATCTACTGCTCAATAAGTAGCTCTGAAAAACTTGCCTTACTTGCCAAGATGAACTTGAGTCATTCTTTGGGCTGTCAGTGCCTCCCAGTGCACGGCAGGTGCTAACTGGACATCTCCCTGAAGTCATGAACCGGTGCGGAGGACTCAGTGCAAACGAGGGGACATTATGTGCCACAGGTAATGACTAGGACATACCTTCAGCTGCAAACAGCACGGTAGTGTGATCATACAGGTCAGCGATGTCCTCCTCCGACCAGCTAAAGGGGACGTTGGGATCTACCAAAGAAGAAATGGCTGTGGTTCATTCCTTCCTCTGCTGGCCATGACTCTCAGTGCAGACTGACTGAAGGAAACTTTAGGACAGGAGACAGGGCTGGGGCAAGCTGATCTGCACCCTAGTGCCCCAGGTTTGAGACAGCCACACAGTAAGGGCAGCCCTTCCTGCCAGTGAGGGGTAGGTGGATTCCACCTACTGCTGGGCCAGCAGCCCTGGGAGAACATTATCTGCCTGCCACCATCCAAATTTACTTGCTGTGTGATCCCATGAAACTGGCCACACCTCTCTGGGTTTTCAGTTTTACATTTATAAAAAGGTCTAATGAAGCTTTCCTCAGAGGACTGCAGGGAAGATTAAAGAAACCACACTCACAAAGTGCTTAGCAGATGACAGGTGTTTAGGTCAGAGTTTCCTCTGACAGGAAAAAAGAAGCCTCAGTACAAACAGCAAACATCCACATCTGATCGTTGGTGGAGAGTTTAGAAACTCTCTCATCCACTCTGTTTCTTGGCATGACTGTTTCCTGGGAAATGGTCTAGGCCCCAGACTTGGGGTACACCCTGGCCTGAGTGTTGTTCTCCACTCTCAGTTCAGGCCTGACCACATCCACCCCATGGGGGTGGGGGCTAAACAGCGACATGGGGTCAAGGGCCTAGAGTGTGGCAGGTGTTCAGAGAACACCAGTGGGGGCTCAGAAGCCACATGCTATGGGGCTGTGGAAGCAACTGGGACTCTGTAGTTCAATCAGGCCACAGAGTTAAGACCTCAGGTATCAGAGGAGCCACTGAACCAAGGGGCCCTGTAAGAAGCCCTCACCTGTGCAGAGGTCGTCCTTCAGCCAGTCCAACTCCTTGACCTTAACCACACCACCTGCAAAAGCAGAGACATAACTCCCAAACTATACCCAAGTGGGAGGAACACACTCTGACCCTCCCATGCCTCTCCCCATCTAACCACGCACCCGTACTTTCCCATAGTCCCTTCCATCTGCCCCCCTCTTCCATCCTCTCTCAATCCCTCTCTCTCTTCCCAACGTTTTGGGCACTCAATATTGGCAAGTCTACTGACACAGAGAATATAAAAATTTATCAGTCCTGGTCACCACCCCTGGGGACTGGCTACTGACTCTTCCTAGGAGGAGCTGGCAGGTCAACAGATGACTATAAGAGCACATGGTTAGCTATGGCTAAAAGGTTGAGCCAAATCATGGAAAGGAACCTGTCCTAAGGAGGTTAGGAAGTCCTCACACAGCATGGCCAAGGCCAGATCATCTGTGCTTGGAAGCTATGCTAAACCAAGGATGCTCCTAAGTCTTCCATTCATCTAGTACAAAGGAACCCACTCCCCATAACCCCCTCACCCAACCATTCCAGTGACTCCCACTTGCCTCCCTCACTGCTGGTCCTTACCTCCAGCAGTAGCCAAGTGGCTATTGAGGGCAACGTTTCGCTGGCACATGGCCAGGAGGTCTGTGCCGACATCTGGAATGACAAAAGGGCACACATGGGTTGTTAGGACATGTCTCCAGGGTTTTTCTGGAGAGCAGAGCTGCCTCTAGGGTCCTGGCTGCAGAGATGAGCCACACCTCTCCTCCAAATTCTGTTGCTGAGACTGAACATGAGCACTGCAGGGTCTTTCAAATGACTTTTCCTAAGTGAAAAACTTTCAGCCTGCTGGACATGTGTTCCAGAAAGACAGAGCAAGGCTCCAGAGTTTACTGAGCATACAAACTTTCAGGGCCCTTCCTTTCTATCTTCACTGTCACCCTGGGAGCCAGTGCTGGGACCCTTACTCCACTGAGCAATCAGAGCAAGCCCTGTAACCTGGGAGTGTTAACACTTGTGCTCTGAATCTAGGGTCTCTGACTCCAAATTCAGGCTCCATGGCACCCTGAAAGCTGAGTGAGGTCAGAAGGGTATTTGACAGCATTGATTCAAACAGGCTGAGTAGGGTCGCCAGCCGTGCAGTGTTCCTATCTTTGGTCACCACTCTCCACCTCCCCCAGTTGCCTCTGACCTGGAGGCATAGCTGATGATTGTGGAAGTTGACTCAGTGCACTGTCTTCTCACAGGGACTCAGTGCTTTGCTAGAAATGAACTTTTACTTAACAGAAATATGTATGCATGTGTATATGTATGTGGAGGGTGGAGAATGCCTTATGAAAGATATCTGCAGGATCCACTGTAGGTATGGGTGCCTCCAGGCACTTAGCACAAACTCCCTGGGGACCAGACAGCACAGACCCCAAGGATCACACAATCTGGTGGTGGGAGCTAGCTCACCAGAGGAATGGATCCAGTCCTTCTGCTGGGTGAAGAGGACATCACTGGGGTGTACTGGACTGCACATGGCTGGCTCAGCAGTTTGCAAATCTTTTGATTATTACGTGCTGGGGACTGAACCCAGTACGCCCCCCCCAGCCCCTCGATGCTATGTAGGTGATTCACACTGAGCTATTCTCTAAGCCTCCAACTATCACAAGAAAGCTTTCATAGAATTCTGATGTATGCACCTCTGGAGGAGTGGGGAACCAGACCAGGAGCCCTGAAAAGCTCCCCAGGGCATAGTCTGTAAAACACCCACACGATAGCAGCCTGGAAGTCTGGGTCCACTGGGCCTAGAGTCTCGTGTGTGTGTGTGTGTGTGTGTGTGTGTGTGTGTGTGTGTGTGTGCACGCGTGTGGGATACAGGTGGAGAGATGCCTGCTTCTCTTGTAGGACCTGGGTTCCATTCCTAGCACCCGTGTCAGGTGGCTTACAACTGCCGTCTTCTGTCCTCTGTGGGCACCTGCACTCATATGCACAGACCCCCACAGATCTGCATCATTTAAAAATAAGCCAGGCATGGTGGTACATGCTGTTAGTCTCAGTACTTGGGAGGCAAAGACAGGAAGATCTCTGAGAGCCCAGCCTGGCCTACCTACAGAGATCCAGACCAGGAAGGGCTACATAGTGAGACCTTGCTTCAAAGAAAAAAAAAGAACAAAAAGAAAAACATGATAAAATTACAACAAGTCTGCAAAGACTAGCACACACGTGTATAGAGCACACACGTATATATAGCACACACATGTATATATAGCACACATATGGACACCCACACTTGAGTGGTTAAAACTGATTTTCTTTGCAAGTTGCTGGGGCTGTGAATTGCTTGTTTGTGCTCTGCTGAACTCCCAATTCTGTACTTGACCTGCTAAAGGAACTTAATACATTGCATACTTCTGAATAGCTCCGAGGATCGTGAAATTATGAGTAATTTTTATGTTCTGTTTTACAAATTTCCCAAAGAACAGGCCAGGTTTCTATCTTCAGGGACAAATGATAAACTGGAGTGTAAGGCCTATGCCAAGGAACAGTCTTGGGGGTTCCTTGGCTATTTGCTTTTTCTTGGTGTATGGGCAGAGAAGGGGCACCGGACACTTGATGCCCAGTGATCTGGTGGCCACAGGGTGACACTGTGGTGGCTAGGCATGGACAGCTATTTGAACATCAATGAGGAAAACAAATAGAGAAGGGAGAGAACAAGGGGAAGGTTCTAGCAAAACCCACAGCAGCCAGTATCCAAATCCTGGTGTCCTTGCTGGTTTTTACAGCAGTACACACTCTGTGAGGCCCACCTGTACAATAAACTGTGCGTGCCACGGTGGCTGCCACGATGCTGACAAGCCCCGTGCCTGCCCCGAGCTCCAGCACCGTGCGTCCCTGGAAGAGGTCCCTTTGGAACAGGATATAGTCTGCCAGTAGCAGGGCACCCCGCCACACCTGGAGGAGAGAGGACAAAGAACCACAGGTGACTTGAGGTTCTGGAAAGACCCCCCCGGGGCTACTGGAAGTGGACAGGGCCTACCCACCTGCTTGCCTACATCCTCCAGGGGCGTGGCCATGGTGTGCTCTGGATGGGATGAAAACCAAGAGATAAACAGCCACAGTGAAAATGGAGGTGCACAGAAAGTGGGGGTGGGAGATGGAGGGAGTTTTGTGGCAGTCTGTCAGTGTGGCCAGATGGGTGAAGGAGTTAAACATTTGGGAGAGAAGTAGAAGCTGGGGGGTGGGGTCTGAGCATCACTGAGGCCAGCCATGTGGCCCACCCCAGTTCAAGTCACTGGGTTACTGTCCGGTGGTGGCCTGGAGACCAGGGCCATATCAGGTCTGAACCAGTCACATATGTCTGAACACACCTATCACACCACACTAGGCTCAGGAACTGCCATTTTACAATCGTAAACTAGTTATACACTAATAACCCCAGCTCCTCCCAGAACATTTTTTTATGCTTAGGACATACCAGAAGCTATCAAAGTAAGTTTCAATTTGTATCTTTTTAAAAAAGCTCAAGAGGTGAGTGTTAAGTGTAGTCTCAAGTCCAAAATCTCTTAGGACAAAATTTTGGTTTGGGGAGGAAGGGAATAGAAAGAGGTCCCAAAGAGAAAAAAACACCCCCAATGCTCTTATTTGTTTTCAGTTTTCTTTTTTTCTTTTTTTTTGTCATTTTGAGGCAGGGTCTCCCTGTAGCCCCAGCTGGTGGCCTGGAACTCAAGGTGAGTGCTAAGTGTAGTCTCAAGTCCAAAATCTCTTAGGACAAAATTTTGGTTTGGGGAGGAAGGGAATAGAAAGAGGTCCCAAAGAGAAAAAAACACCCCCAATGCTCTTATTTGTTTTCAGTTTTCTTTTTTTCTTTTTTTTTGTCATTTTGAGGCAGGGTCTCCCTGTAGCCCCAGCTGGTGGCCTGGAACTCACTATGTATACCAGGCTGGCCTTGAACTCACAGAGATCTGCCTGCCCCTGCCTTCTGAGTGCTGGGCAGGCTTGTTTCTATTTTTTAAAGACAGGGTTTCATTCTGTAGCCTAGGCTGGCCTGGAACTCATTATCTACTTAAGTTTCAAAAGCGGAACCTTAAGGGCTGTCAAACACAAACACAAGCACAGCAGCAAAGCTTCCAGAGCCCACTAAACTTACAAATCAAAGCATCACAAAAACAGAGGAGCAAGCTGTGTGTGGTGGTTAGCGTCTGTAATCCTAGCACTTGGGGTTGGGGGTAGGAGGATTGCCATGAATCTGAGGTGAGCTTTGGCTAAAGAGTGAGATCCTGTTTAAAAAAAAAAAAAAAAAAAAAAAAGTGAAAATTAAAACAAAACAAAACAAAGGGAGGGTGAGATGGCTCATTGGGTAAAGGTGCTTGCAGAACAAGCCTGACAGCCTGAGTTCGATCCCCAGAGCCCACATAAAGGTGGAGGGAAAAAAACCAACTCCACAAAGTTGTCCTCTGAACTCCACGTGTGCCACAGTATGAGAAGTTACGCATGTGCGCTTGTACATGCACAAACACACCAAAAACCAAAAACAAAGAAAAACAAGAGCAAAACCCAAAAGTAACTGTCCCTGGCACCTTGGGCTGACCTGATTAAACAACAACCTGCATTCCCTTCAGAAGGTCGTAAGGGATGCGGGGCATAACATGTGGCCAGTGGTTAGAAGCCAGAAGAGAAACACACCCAACCTCATAATAACACATTCCTCTACCGTGTACGGATGGGCATCCATGAAACAGCCTGGGGTTTGCACCTAGAGACCCTACTGGAAGACCATGCAGGCTAGTGACTAGCAATTCACCACAGGGGTAAAACATACAGAAAGCTGAGAGGTACAGATAATTCCTACCTTATACTCTCTACTCCGGTGGAGGAAGGAAGTCTCCAGGAGTGAGAAAGGCCCCAGCTACTTCCCTACTGGTGTGACCAAGGACAACTGCTAGTGAGGACCATGCAGGGTAACTGAAAGCCCAGTTTAAATTACAGATTTATTGGTCTTCTATTAATGTTAAAAGTAGGTGGACTTGGGTGGATGCCGGAAGGTGGCATGCCTGGGTTCCTGGTGCCTCTAGGCATATCAGAGGCAATAAATGTTAATAGACATAGATAGAAAACAATACAGGTTAAAGAGATTAAGCTTGATTGACGGGTGGGCAGCTGTCTCCCTTGAGTAAACCATGTACATTTCTCTCCTGGGCACAGAAATTGTCCACCCATCCAAGAAGTAGATGCAGAAAGAACCCAAGAGTCAGGTGTAGGCATAGTCTAGGAGGCGGGTCTAGGCATAGCCTAGCAAGTGGGTGGCTAGCTCCCCACTGGCCCTAGGCCAGACTAAGCTGCTAGAACCAGCCCCACTGTTCATCGGCCCCATGTTCATCAGGGTGAAGAGAAGGCACAGAGGTCTTATAAAAGTGCCCCAGGATGAGACATCAGATAATTAATACAAAGATAAAGTCTTTTCATGCTGTTTTAAACATCGGTAACAGTTTACCTTAGTATCTTCTTAGTTGTAAACTTCTGCAATCACCTGACACTCTCTCTGAATGAATGTCAAAGAAGTTTCAGAGTGCTTCACCAAGGTTATCTCCTTAACTCCACTACTTGTTATGGGATGGTGGTTTGGGACTGCACGCTGTCATCCTGCCCATCCTCTGCAAAGAGGTTTTATTATATAGAGATAACAATGCTAACCTTAAGCATTTTATGGAGCTGGTACCCATATACTAAGTATACCTAAAGGCTTACAGATAAAAAAAACCCAGTTCACAACTGGTATGAAGCCTCTTCTTGGCACTTTATGGTTGGTTAGACACAGCTGATACCCTGAAGGTGATTTTTAAAAAAAATCTGCAACAGCCTGGGCCTATAAATGCTATAACATGGGCTGGAGAGATGGCTCAGTGGTTAAGAACACTGGTTATTCTTGCAGAACAGCACCCACATGGCAGCTAACAACTGTCTGTAACTACAGTTCCAGGGGATCCGACAGCCTCTTCTGTCTTCTGTAGGAATTGCACGACATGGTACACTTACCTATATGCAGGCAATACAGGAATACACATAAAATAAAAATAATAAATACTAAAAAAAAATGCTATGCATAAAACAAAGATGACCTTTTTTTTTTTTGGTCTTTTTGAGACAGGGTCTCCCTGTAGCTCCAGCAGTCCTGGAACTCACTATGTAGACCAGGCTGGCCTTGAACTCACAGAGATCTGCCTGCCTCTGCCTCCCAAGTGCTGGGATTAAAGGCGTGCGCCACCATGCCTGGCTAAGGGTAATCTTTGAGAGTAAACACAAACATTCCCAAAAGCCATAAAGTTGTCAAGAATTCCAAAGTGAGGGTTGGGTTACCTTCCTAGGTGTTGCTGGATAGGGAGGCCTTAGAGGCCCCCCAGTATAACAAAAGCTATTGCCATTCATGGTGGCTGTGCTGCAAAACTAGATGGTAAGACCCTACTGTTGAAGAGGTTACAGGTTTGGTTGTAGGACCTGGAGAACTAGGGTGAGGCTGAATCAAAAGTGCTCCTCCTTGTGGGTTAGCTCTTGTAGGGCTGGAAGGTGCTACTAAAGTTGCTGGGGAGAATGATGGCCTGCTCCGCTGTGAATTCAGGATGCTTCATGATGGAAGTGCCAGTTAGTTCAACAGTGGTGCAGTGGTTATGGATAGAATCAGCTTTCTGATTGAACTCCACGCTGGCTCCACAGGGAGAAATTCAGAATTGGTACTGAGAACTTAGACAAAAACCTGTGGTCAGGGAAGTCACAGGTCTCAGTGGAGAAGCCATTGCTATTGGTTTGGTAAATAACTAATATAGCTGCCGAGGTGCTTCCCAACATTTGTTTATAACCATAGATTACGACTGTGGTTAGTGTTCATTTAAATATTTTTCATTTCTAGTTTCCTTTCTTTTCCTTACTTGTGTTTTGTAGCAGAAAAATAGTACCACCAAGACTCGCTGTCAGCCATGTTCTAGAGACAGAGGGATGACTGGAAAGACATCAGGGTTTGCATACCCCTGGAGTTAGAGAAAAACTGATCACACCCTGCCACTTCCTTCAAGGCTCAGGGACCACCGTGGAAGAGTGGGCAGAAAGGATGTAAGAACTGGGGAAATGGGTGAAGACTTACATAGCAATTTCCTCCAAAATACAACATTCCATCTGTGAGTTTCCTTAAGACACAGGATGTTCTAAAGGGAAATGAAACATTTCATCCTGTAGGAAGCTCATGAAAACTTAGGAAGTAGAGGGGACAGAGAGATGACTCAGCAGTTAAGAGCACTGGCTGCTCTTCTGGAGGACTGGGGTTCGGTTTTCAGCACCTACATGGCAGCTAACAACTGTCTGTAACTCCAGTTCCAGGGGAATCTGATGCCCTCTTCTGGCCTCTGTGGGCTTTGAAGGACATGGGCACACTTACACACCTGCAGGCAATATACTCACACACATCAAAAAAATAAAATAATATCAGGAAATAGAGATGGAGGCCAACTTGGTCTACATAGTTAAGTTCCAGGTCAGCCGAGGCTACTGGGAGACCCTATCTCAGAAACAACACTCAGGAAGAAAACAGCTCAGAAGCTTCTGCAAGGCCCGGAAACTGAGCAGATTCACTAGGCCCCTCCCTCCCCAGGCTTAAATAAGCCCTCTGAGAAACCTTTCAGGCCAGCAGAGCTGCCTGGGAGGCTCAGGTCAGCCAGGCTGCCTGGAAGAGACACTCTAACCTGTTGAGCTGCCTGCAGGTTGTGCAGTGAGCTCCAGGCTTCCTGTTTTCCTGAGCTGTAAACCCTGCTGGTGATGCAGCTGTCTTGGAGTCATTTCTGCTCCTGTAAGTAACCCCTCACCCATACTCCAGTGAGTAATCCCAATAAAACTCACTGGTTCACCAAGTTGGACCTTGGTGGTTAATTTAATTTGGTCTGTCATCAGTTCCCTAACTGTGATGAGTTCACATCACCTGAGAAATAGTGTCATAATACCTGGGGTTGTCAGACCCCTGCTCTGCCCATTCAGCTGGGGCTATGGGGTGCTTAGTGTTGCCTCTGAGTCCTGTCAAACCACCCTTCCTGGACCTTATCATCTCTCCTTCTCACTGGCCTGCAGCCCCAGCTTCTGCCCCATCTGATTGGCCCACACCAGGCTGCAGAGGACTGATGTCTCCCTCTTTCCTCACACTCTGGCTTCTGAGTCTCCTGTGGCCCCCTATCCTGACCTTCACTTCTGTATGCTGGGTTAGAGAACAAGGAAGCAGGAGGTGGCAGCAGCAAGTTGTCCTGGGACAGCCTGGAATGTGCTAGAAAGCAGAGGTTGGCAGCCTGTACTCAAGGAAGAAGGCACAGCCCAGCAGGAACCCAGAAGTGAGGAGTGCGTGGATGAGTGCAGGGTTGTGAGGCCGGCAGTGATGGGAGGTGAGCCGAGCCCATGTCACCCCAGCCTTTGAAGCTGAGTCATTTGTACCCCATCTGTAGGGCAATGGGGAGCCACTGAGGAGTGCTGAGCAGGAGAAGAGCTGCAGGTTTAGAACAGACTCTGCTGGCTGTGGCACTTCCTGCTCCCCACTCACTGGAGCTGCTTCTGAACTCAGAGCTGGCACAGTCTTGTGCCTTACCAGACAGGACACTCCCTTAGTGGCAGGACAGGCACAGAGCAGCAGCAACCCCAGTGAAACCACCTTTATTTACCTATTTTGATGATGCTGTCGGGGCAGCTCTCCTGTGCTTGGTCTCCCGTCAGGTCATCTTCCTCCTGTGCTAGAATCATGGGATGTACCTTGTCTCTTGGAGGCTCCGCTGGGTCGAGGTCAGAGGCAGCCCGTGGTCTTCGCACCACATCCAGGTCCCCGTCCTCGTCCAGGGGAGCTTCCTGGCTCGTGGTGTCAGCCCAGGCCTGGGGGGACAAACCCTCATGACTGTGGCCACTTCCAGGAGGGGACCTGGGGCTGGCTGACCCAGCAGGAGGCGCCTCCTGTGGGGGGACATCTCTGAGACCACTGTCCTCAGTCCCTGAGTCTGTCCAAGAGTCCCGACTCCACAGGAGCTTGAACTGGGACAGGAAGACTGTAAGCAAGACAAACATGAAGTGAGCACTTCTGGGCACTCATCAGAGTCCTCTCCTTTGAGAAGTTTAATTGCCAACTGGAGATACCTTTTTTTTTTTTTAAATTTTATTATTTTTATTTTTAAATTTTATTATTTTTATTTTATGTGTATGTATGTATTGCCTGCATGTAGGTAAGTGTACCCATGTCATGAAAAGCCTGGGGAGGACAGAAGAGGTTGTTGGATCCCCTGGGACTGGAGTTACAGACAGTTGTTAGCTGCCATGTGGGTGCTGGGATACAAACCCGGGTCTTCTGCAAGAACAGCCAGTGTTCTTAACTGTTGAGCCCTCTCTCCAGCCCCTAGAGATAATCTCTTTTAAAGACAGGGTCTCATGTAGCCCAGGCTGGCCTCAAACTATGTAGCTGAGGGTGACCTTCAAATTCTGATCCCCCTGCTTTTACCTTCCAGTGTTTGGATTATACATGAGCACCACCATGTATGGTTTAATGTGGTGCTGGGTTTTGAATCCAAAGTTCTATGTATGCTAGGCAAGCACTCTACCAACTGAGCTACATCTCCAGCACAGATACTTTTGAAGACCAGGCAGGGGTATGCTAACTAAGCAGCAGCAGCAGAGGCCTGGTTGACTCAGCAGTGACCAGCTGGGCAGCTGAGGCCACTAGAGCAGCAGCAACCCCCGCGGGAACAACCTGTGCTGTGTGAGCGCCTGTGCAGGCCCCTAGCCCATGTCATGTTAATCTGCAGTCGCCACGATGACAGCACGTCAGCTCACTCCCCATACATAGACGCCAAGGCTCAAAGCTGGAGAAGGAAGGACATAAACCTAGTCGGCCTGGTACTTCGGCTTCTTAAGAGCAGGACAAGGACACAAATATAGCTACCACCTGGGAGCCATTGAGACAGATTTCAGTAAGAATGCATGTACCAGGGGAGGCATGCTAGAGACAGAGGCAGCGAGGACTTCAGAACGCATAGCCCTGGGCTGCAGTTCCTCCATCTACTCTGGGGCAGCCACTTGTCTGCCCTGAGCCTGATTCCATGCTTGCATCCCAGGAATAATGGTACCCACCCACAGACTATTCAACACTAACAGGATGGTGAACAGAGTGCCTGGCTCAGAGTTCCCAGCCCTCTCTTCCCTTACCTGACTTCACTGTTCCCTACCTTCTCCCAGCATAGGGGTGGGGGTGGGGGTGGGAAGACCTGACGGCAGTTCTTGCTGTGTCTGTGTAGCTGTACCCTCTGTTTGGATGCCCTCCTTAGTTCTTTAGATAAGTCCTTCTAGCTTTTAAGACTAGATCAGCAGACTCTCCTTCAGGCTCCCAAAGCATTATGTCCCATGCCAAGTTTTGGATTATCCATCCACCCACCCCTACCTAGCCACCTACTTAGCCATCCATCCATCCATCCTTCCATCTCTTCATCTACCCATCCACCCATTCATCCATCTCTCCCATTTTTTCTGCCTATTCACCTACCACTCATCCATTCATCTGTCTTACCCATCCATCCATCTACTCAGCATCCATCCATTCAACTACCCATTCATTCATTTCTCCCATTCATCCACCTACCTATTCACCCAGCCATTCATCCATCCATCATTCATCTACCTACCCACCACCCATCCATCCATTCAGCTATCCATCATTCATCTATCTACCCACCCACCCAATTAAACATGCACTGATCATCAACTGCACCGAGTAGAATGTTAGGTTCTGGGGTACAAAGCAGACTGCAGTATCGTAGGGGGCTTATATTTAGGGTTGCTATTGGTGAACATTAGACAAGATAAATACAGACTGTATGCTCCCTGCCACAGACAATAGAACTTTATTTTGTGTAACACACATATAGAAATGGTGTAATGTTGAGGTCAGCAAACCTTTCTTACAGCAGGTCAAGCAACATATATTTTAAGCTCTGTGAGCCATAAGATCTCTGTTGCAACTGTACAGCTGTCTGCAGTCATAAAAACATGTAAACATGGGCCTGGCTGTGCTTCAGTAGAATGTTATTCAAGTGGAGGCCAGGTTTGGCCACACAGGCTGCAGTGTGCTGATGCCTGGTATAATGTTATCCAAACTGGGACTGTTATTAATGATCACACCAAACAATGAATGAATGTGAGTTATAGAGAGCGGCTTTGGGGACCTGAGAAGATGACACCCCAGAAGCCATGGCTGAGGAGGAGTGCAGTATGATTTGAGGGACAGGACAAAGGTGAAAGTGGCCAAAAAGAATGAAGAAGGGTGAATGGCTGGGCTAGGCACAATGACTGAGATCTGCAGGCCCAGGTGAAGGGGCCACATGTTCCTGGGGGCTACAGGAGGCTACTGGGGAATCTGAGTCAGGGCAGAACTATGGCCAGGTTTGTATTTTCAAAAGCTGTGCTTGGCTACAGTTAGCAGGGCTGTGTAAGAAAAAAGAGAGGGAGCTGGGGAGGAAGGAAACAGAAGCAGCCAAGAAGGAGGGTGACTGGCATCACGGGGGCACATGAAGCCCCAGGGCTGTCCCTGCAATGGACTGTCAACTTGTTCATTTCTGCATTCCTGTGCCAGGTCCTGGCCCAGCATACAGCAGGTGCTGAGAGAAGCACAGATGTGTATTCAGTGAAGGGCGCTCAAGTGACACAAGCATAACAGTTTAATAATCCAATCTTTACCCGAAAAGAAGAGAAAACAGAAAAGGAAGTGATTGCCACAGGGCACTGAGCTACTCTGCCCAGGCCTGGACCTTACCAGGCTGCCCCACGCTGTTCAGCCGCACCATGAGGTGCCTGTGGTTCGGAGTATACAGGTGGACATCTGACAGCACGGTGTTACTTTTGAAGGTGACCTCATCCATGGCTGGACCCACGTTATTCCTGAGGCATACCTGAGAAGGAAGAACAGATCCTCAGGATGGTAGACACCAGGAGGGACAGTGGAGACATGCCATCTGGTGGCCAATGGAAGCCTGGGAAGTGTTTCTACTGCAAAGACCCTTTATATTTCCATCTCCTTCCTCTTCTGAGGAGCTGGGGATTGAACACAGGGCCTTGCACATGCTAGACAAGCTCTCCACCACTGAGCTATATCCTCAGTCCTCTTTTTGAGACTCTGGCCTTGAACCCACTCTATAGACAATACAGTCCTGATTTTCCTGCCTCAGCCACCTGAGTAGCTGGGACAACAGGTTGGCACTGTCAGGCCCAGCTCCTTTTAATTTTTCCAAAGGAGAAAATTTGGCGCTTTGGTGAGGGAGAAGAATCCAGTTAGAATTTATTATTACTTTGCACTATATACACTAACAATACTCTTTTATCTATGGAAAAGGATATGAATTCTCATTTGTAAATAGTGATAGTTTCCTTTCTCTTTTATCACCTGAACTTTATCATGGAAATTTTCAAACAGAGAAGAAAGTTAGGGAAACAGCATAATAAACAATCATATAGCCATCACTTGCATGAAAGGAAAACCAATGTTTTGCCAGAGGCATTCACACTATCACCTATCTAATAATACAGGGGTAGTGGGGGGGGTGAGATGCTAAGCAGTCCTTCAGTTACAATAGGTGTTAGTAAAATACCAGAAACTTCTTTGCCTTGAGGTTGGTTTCAAGTGTTTTACATAAATCTGCCTGCAACCCATCTCCAGGAACAGCTTCTACCTGGGTGGGTAGGGCAGCAGCTGTGTACCCTAGGAATATCATTAACCTCTTGAGGCTTCCATTTTTTCCAACTGGAAATGGAATCGTCACAATTCACATGTCATCATGATCTAACTACCCATGGCTGGGGTTCCTAAATTCACATGCCTGCCATGGAACAGTACAAGTTGTACCAACACAGAAAGTTTTAGGAAAAACACAAGACCCCTTATGAAATTGGTCTCCAAGCTGGCTTTTTCCTGTAAACATGATAAGCCATCTAAAAAGCCAATGGGTTGGGAATCAAAGCTGGGAATCAGGCAACCCAATGCAGGACTTCATGTGAATGAACAGATGGAGAAATGCTCACTCATCAGCAAAACCACAGAGATCAACATTGGATGAGATCCAGGAAGAGGAAATGCAGCCTAGAGCTAGGACACTGGCTCAAGGTAGATGTGGCTCTCCCAGTCCTGGGGGAAAGAAAACAAATTGCCTACCTAGTTTTTTGTTTGGGACCAACAAACAAGCAAAAACCTCTCTGGTGTCACTGGGAAAATCAAACAGGAATCAGCAGACAGAATGTGTTGCTATGGTGCAGTTTTGCTGAAAAAATATTTGCAACTCCGAGAAGAATGTTCATTGGTCTTTCTGAAAATGAGCATTATAGCACAGACCAATTTTTCTGAAATATAGAAAAGAAATTCCTTACTAATTTCTAGTTGATGTCTTCCACTTAACAAAACAAAACAAAAACGGAGCAGGTTTCTCAGGAAATGCAACCTTGACATGGAGTCAAGGAGAAGAGGGCCTCGTTTAGATGGCTTGCCTCAGAACTAGCCTTCTGGGAATAAAGACCCACCCTGGTCTGTTTAGGGGTCTGTGTGAGGAGTAAATGTGACAGGTGTTCCTTTCAGGGCTCAGGACACAGTAAACAAAAGACAACAACAGTGTCACGGCTGCGGTGTGCTGGGAAGACCAGGAAGGCCCTGGTCAGCGTTTCTACTTAGAAACAGCAAATCCAGTTTCCATCGGGAATGCCAAGGCTGGAGGGGCTTCTGTTCTTTCTGGGAACCGCTGAGAAAGCAGATCGATGGCAAATTCACCTCTGTAGCAGAGCTGACAGGTATTCTAGGTTCTTCTAAGACTGGGAGTCGGATTCCAACTACGTCCTTTCTCTACATGTCTGCAGCCAGGGTTGTTCCCAAAAGCAGATAGCTAGGATCAGGGGGTTCAAAGAACACCCCTCCCGCCTGTCTTTCTCACTGTCAGGTACAATGCACTCACTGACCGAGCAATCAGGACCTGGGCTCTGAATACAGAAGACCAGGAAGCTCGAACCCAGGGTCCAGGGGTACAGGGTGGAGTCCGGGGCTCAAGGGCCTCCTCCCCTTGGGGCGCCACTCTGACTGTGGGTTGGCCATTGCCCTCTCAAGAAGGCAGCACCGCTCGGGTCTCCGCATCACTTCCAAATCCCACACCCTACTGGAGTACCCGGCCGGGTACGGAAACCGAGGGGAGGTGACTCACTCCTCCCATCATAGAAGGGGAAACTGAGGCTAAGAGCGGCCTCCAGGCTCAGGCTTCAGGATCGAGGCAGCCTGACTCTCAAAGCCTGAACGTTCCCTGGGCTCGGCCGGTCCCGTCCCTCTCCCAGGCACTTCCCACCGCGCCCCCGGCCCTTGCGTCCCACCGGAAAAACCTCACCGTGGAGACTCAGGAAGCCGCCATGACAGCCCGTCTGCGCAGGCGCGGCCCATGCTGTACGTCTTTCTCCACCCCCAACCCCCACCGGTCTACACCCACACGATTGGGTTGCGCAGGCACCAGCCACCAGCCACTGCTCTAGCTCGGTGACCTGCTTCGATAGGGATATAGGATTCCCTCCCCATAGCCCCGGGGTTCAGCTCAGCCCTTCAGAGTCCCCCAGCACACCAAGTGTTAAATAATTTGTCCACGGTGTTATCAGAGTTATTTACGGTCAGAGCCTGGGCATCAGAGCCCCAGTGAGCCACTGGTCCTTAATAAGCCAACTAAACAAGTAATAGTGAAAAGCAGAAAAAGGAGATTTGTGTCAATGTGACGACACTGGGAAGAAGGACAGAGAGTCAGTGACACCCCCGACTCCTCCCTGTCCCCAAGTCCATCTTCAGGTTCTGACATGACATTTTTAAGCAGAGGGCCAGAATTATGCAGAATTAGCTAAGCAGTCCAGGTGACGTCCATACCGCCCATCATCGACCCATCGTTTTGACTCCAGTTTCTCCTGCAAGGTGGCCAGACAAGTTATAAATCTGTTCCTGGGTGACACCCCCCTCCCCTAGCTATCCTAGGCGTTTTAGTCTTTTTCTTCTTTCAGCATGATCTTAGTTCCTGTTTGAATAGTCTGATAGCCAAAAGAGGGGCACAAGTGTCTCTTTAGAATGTCCTCATTTTTGCCGGGCAAGCCAGGTAGAGGGTGATGCCTGGATTCAGATTTGAGAGGAAGGGATCCGAACCTGTGGGGTCAGCCAGCAGGCTTACCACGCAGTCTCATTATGTTTACCCCTACTTACACATTATCAGCAGCTGTAGTTATTCATGTGTTTACTCATCAGTCTCCAACACTGGGGCAATCCCAGAATCTCTACTGTAATTGAAGTCTAACAGGGCATGAAATATGGAACAGATCTTACACCTTAGGTAAATTTGCACTAGCTCAGAATGCTGAAAGTGGTAGGAGCTCAAGGGTGGCAGGGGGCGGGGGTTGTGTTAATCAGTTTTTTTGTAGCTGTGACAAATACTCAAGATAAATAACTTAATGGAGGAATTATTTACCTTGGCTCATGTTTTCAGATATTTTGGTCCAGTGTTGCTGACTCCATTGCTTTGGACCTGGGTGAGGCAGAGCATGATGGTAACAAGGGAGTGTGTAGCAAGCTGCACACCTCGTGGCAGTCAGGAAACAGAGGTGGGGAGGGACCAAGACTCAGTGATCCATATCCTCCAGTTAGGCTCCACCTCTGGAAGGTACTACCAATCAGACTGTGAATCTATGAGTGGAAGACCCCATCCCCAAAGGCAGACCCCTTATTATCCAGTCAATTCTTGAAAGCCCCACCCCTGAACACCACTGGCATAGGGGATCCGCCTTTCAGTACATGAGCCTTTCTAGAGGACACTCCACATCTAAACCAGACAGAGGCTTAGTGTGAACCCCACAACCTCCTTTGTCATGCAGTGGGCCATTTGCTGGATGTTTTCTCTGGATTTCCATGGCTTTTGGAAGCTGGGGCTGAAAGAAGAAATAAATGGACAATTGCAACAGAAGTTAGATCAGGGGGAGGCCCCAGGTCTGGGTGAATCTTTCATCCCTTATAAGCCAGGCAGTGTTGGCATACAATGGAATGACCATTGAGGTTTCTGAAGTGCCCCAAATTGCTGAGGCTACCTTTGCAGAAGTTGCTGTCTCTCTCCACTGCTTTCCCTGGGGTCTGCCAAGATTTACTCAATCTTGAGTAAATATAGCCTATGTGACATGCCTACCTTGCTTCTTCTTGTGGCCCTGGTGCTTTGTGGCTTGGGTCATTGGGTCAGCCTGACCACCTTCTGTCTTCCTATGACTTGCTTCTCAGTGTCTTTCTCGATGTAGCTCCTTTTCCTCATAGGACACCAATCATTGAATTTAGGGCATGCCCTAAATCTAGGATAATTTTAACCCCAAATCTATGATGGTTAGTTTTAACTTTCAACTTGACATAGTCTAAAGTCACCTGGGAAGGGAGTCTAGATCAGGTTGAACTATGGGGGATTGTCTTGATTAGGTTAATTGATATAGGAAGATCTGTAAGTGGGCAGCACCATTCTTTCTCTGGGGTTGGGTCCTGAATTGTATAAAAAGGTGGAAATGAGCTGAGTGCATGCATGCATTCCTTCTCTCTGCTCTTGACTGTGGATGTGACCAGCTGCTTCAAGCTCCTGTCACCTTGACTTGCCTGCAGTGATGGTTTGTGACCAGGAATTGTGAACAAAAATAAACTCTTTTTCCCTCTAAGAGCCTATCATCAGAGCATTTTATCACAGCAACAAGAAACAAAATTAAGACAAGATCCTTAAACTAGTTACATTTACAAAGACCCCATTTCCAAACAAAACCAAATTTTGATGGTTTATGTACATATATTCTTTTATCCACTATAGAAGGTGAGACAGGGTTGGGCATGGTGATGCACGCCTTTAATCCCAGCACCTGGGAGGCAGAAGCAGGCAGATCTCTGAGAGCTCAAGCCAGCGTGGTGTATGTATTGAGTTCTAGGCCAACTGGGGCTACAAGGAGACTCTGTCTCAAAAAAGACCAAAAAAGTGAGACAGTTTAAAAACTAGCTATAAATTCTTTTACCCTCCTCCCACGTGGAAGTAGGTCTATGTCTCTGTCCTTCAATATAGGATGGTGGTGACCCACAGGATGTGGAAGCTGTGACTTTGTGTGACTCTGAGGTTAGGTCATGGAAATCATACAACTTGCTTTGGTTCTCTGAGGACTCTCACCCTTGGGGAGGTCAACTTGTACTTGACCTGTATAATACAAGACAAGGTGCTGGAGGCGCCCCTGAAGACCCTCTGGCTAGCAGCTCCAATCTGGTATCATCTTGCCGGAAAGATGAGCTATGAAACTATCAGTGTCGGACAACTTCCAGCTGTGGCTTCCAACAACAGTAACTAATACACTCACCATTCCAGAGGCCAGAAGTCTAAAACAGAAGTTTTGGTGGGACTGTGCCTCATCCAAAAACTTCAGCACCCCCCTGACTTAATCTGCTTCTCAGACTGGCAGTGTAGCCGGCAGACATGAACTTTCTCAAATTTTGGAGCCTGAGGATCCAAGAACTGCTGGTGTTTGTTTATATGGCCTCTTCTTCATGCCCTTGTGAAGAGCAAAAGGGAGGTCTATGGTGTTCTCATAAGGACACTGACTGTTGGGTCAGGGCACCATCCTCATGACCTCATTTAACCTTGTGTCCTTAAGGGCCCTATCTCCAAATGCAGCCACCCTAAGGGTTAGAGCTTCAATACAGAAATGTGGGCAGGCACAAACGTTCGGTCTGCAGTGCCTCTTTACTACTTTTGTCTTCTGATGGCTCATGGTGAACGCTGCAGCTTGTGAGATACACCACTTTCATCTTTGCCTCCGTCTTCACACCCCTCTTGCCTGTTTTGTGTCCAGGTCTACATTTCCCTCCTGTAAGGATGTGTTATACAGCAATTTCCTCTGAATCGAAACAGCCCTTCAGAGAGTGGGGTGTGGTAGGGAGCTTATGAGTCTCAGGAAGTAAACATTCACATAGGCCCATCTCCAAGTTTATGGGAACAGCAAACAACTGCAGGGGGAGGAGTCTTTGATCAGTACGGCTGCCTAGAAGAGACCCTCTGACATATTGCACTGCAGAGAGCAGAGCTGTGCAGAGAGCTCTAGGGTTGTGGCTTTCTTGAGTCACCACCATGTTGGTATGGGGTTTTGGTGATGCAGTTACTTTTGAGTCATCCCTGCTGCTTCCTATAAGAAACCCCTCACCAACACGTCTGTGAGTAACCCCAATAAAAACATATTGGTTCACCAAGTTGGACTTTGGTGTGATTATTACTTTGATATATCCGGTAAGTAGATGTGTATATATGATATCTCTCCAGGTAAAGTCTCACACAACAGTGTGAGATTAGATTAGATTAGAGCTCTGTTATCCAGATGACCTCATTTTACCTAATGACATCAAAGACCATATTTCTAAGCTAAGGTCTCACTTAGAGATGCAGGGTTACCAACCTGTTTGAGAGACACAATAGACACCAGCTTAGAGTGCATGTTGGGGACACAATTCTTCATCCCCAGCTATGGGTCATCTCAGTCATCCCAGGACCCTCCCATCTGAAGTGCTGGACATGGGGAGGAGAGACAAGCCAGTGTGCTGTGCTGTGATCCGCTTCCTGACTACTGTGGTCTGAGTGTGTGTGTGTGTCCTCTCATTCAGAAGTAGAAAACTGAACCCCATAGTGAGGGTATTTGGAGGTGAGGTCTTAGGTGATTAGATCATGAGGGTGAAGTCCCTATGAATGGGATTAGTGCCCCTATAAAAGAGGCCCCACGGCTGGGGAAATAGTTCTATTGTTGAAGTGCCTGCCTTGAAAACATGAGGTTAAAAAAAGTTATGGCTGAGGAGGTGAAGGTAGGAGAATTTCTGGGACTCCCTGTATAGTCAGTTTATCTGGTGAGTTCCAGGCCAGTGAGAGACCCTGTCTCAACCTCCACATATACATGCACACATGTGCGTGCATACCCATACACCCCTTTCCCCCAATGGGGCTTGTGACACAGACGTTCCTCTGACCCTCTGATGACAAGCCATGGACCTACCTCCTTCCCACGCTCTGCAAAGAAGCCATTCCCTTTCCCTCTTCCAGCCACTCGGTTGAAGGGCTAAGGGTATAAAAACTGGGAAAACCAGGAGGCTAGTCTCTTGCCATTTTGTAAGGCTGTCCAGAACCACATGATTTATATCTGGGTGTGGACTTTTGAACACAGCCGTGAATTGGGCAGGGGGGGGGCTCCTCAGGCTGTCACAAGGACCATGGGAGGAGGGGATTGGATGCCACGTGCACCTCCCAGCAGTAAATTTGACTTACAATTGGTGTAGCCAGCAGGATATGACGAAGCTGAGAATGAGTTTTGGAAGAGCATTGATGATGTCGCTGATATGGGGAAAGAGACCAAAAACCAAAGTAAAGTGGGGTGAGGGAAGAGTGTG